CAGAAATGCTTAGAATGGCTTGATTCGATGAATCCCGGCTCAGTAATTTACGCTGTCTGGGAAGTCTCTGCCGGCTGGTTCCACGGCAGCTGATAGAACTTGGGTTAGGTTTAGAATCATCAAATAGACCATTCATCTGGGTGATTAAAACAGAAGAGAAATCCCATGAGGAGTTAGAGAAATGGCTGGAAGATGATAAATTTGCAGAGAGAGTAAAGGACAGAGGACTCTTGATCAAGGGATGGGCACCCCAGATTCTGATACTATCTCACCGAGCCATTGGAGGTTTCTTGACTCACTGCGGGTGGAACTCGGTTATAGAAGGGATATGCTCCGGAGTGCCGATGATAACTTGGCCATTATTCTCTGAACAGTTCTTGAACGAGAAGCTGATCGTCGAGGTTTTGAAGATTGGTGTTCGAATAGGTGTGGAACTCCCTGTGAGATGGGGAGACGAAGAGAAAGTCGGCGTGTTGGTGAAGAGAAATGACGTGGAAAACGCCATTGATGAGCTCATGATGAGCAGTGGAAGAGATGATGAGTTTGAAGGTGAAACGCGGAGAGATCGAGCGAGAAAGCTTGGGGAAACGGCGAGGACGGTCATGCAAGAGGGAGGATCTTCTTATCTGAATGTGCTGAGTTTGATTGAAGATGTTTTGACGCAATCCGAACTGTCGGCCAAGAATAATGAAGATCAAAGCTTTGATTTTGGGAATAAATTATAACAATGTTGAATAAATTTTTAGATAAATAATTTTTATTAGTGTCAATTGCTAATTGATTTAATAATTTTTATTATGTAAGTTATTATCATAATTTGTTATTAAATAATAGATCCTAAAGTGATCTTATCAATATAGAATGTATAATAATTTACAGAATATGTAATACCCAGCTGGGTACAAAAAAAAAATTCTATGGAATATATATATATATATATATGTATATGTATATGTGTATATATATATATAATTAAACAAAAGAAAAAAAAAACTAAAGAAAGAAAGAAAAGAATAACCCAGAGTGTCCTCTCGGAGCAGAAGAAGAAAACATTACACTCTGGGAGCAGAAGAAGAAAACATCGTGGCATATAATATATATATATATATATATATGTATATTTATATATAATTAAGTAACAAAAAAAAAAAGAAAGGAAGAAAAAAAAATAGATAGAGAAGAGAGAGGGCCGAGCGGCATCCACGAGCGAGAGAGAGAAGGATCGCAGGGTGTTGCGCGACGCTGCAATCGAAGGAGAAAGAAAGAGGAGAGCAATCGCCATCAGTTAGAGAGAGAAAAAGAGGAGATAGAGAGAAGACACGCGGTGGATAGAGAGAGAAAGAGAGAAGAAAGAAGAAAGAAAAAAAGAGAGGGAAGAAGAGTTGCCGGAAAGGAGGAAGAAGAAGAAAAAAAAAAGAAGAGGAGCCGCGGGAAAGGGGTAAGAAGAAAAAAAAAGGAAAAAAAAAAGAAGAGAAAAAAAAAGAAAAGAAAAGAAAGAAAGAAAAATAAAGAAAGAAAAAAGAAAATAAAAGAAAATAAAAATAAAAGAAAAGAAATAAAAAGAAATAAAATGAATGAAGAAAAATGAAAGGGCGGCGACCCAAATGATGCGCCACATTAGACATTGCATGCTGATTCGATCACCAGCCCTTGACATTTTCAGTGATACGTGTGTGATGGCGCATGGTGGCGCTAACGATCGGCACGGCATGTTCGAAGGTAAAATATATTTTTAATTTCGTGTAATATAGTTTCTAAAATTATTAATAATTTAATATATATTTTTTCTATTATAAACAAAAAAAACTATCCAAACAGTATTCGGATTTTCGAAAGAACCGTAAACCGAGATAGAAAGAATTTTCAAAATTTTCCTGATCACATAATAAGTAAGAATTATGTGTATTATGTAACGATCCCGAAAATTCAAAAGGAAATACATATAATAATCTAAGTGCGGAAGCGAAATAAAAGATTAAGGTTAATATCACTTACACAATAACTTAAAAGTACTAAACAATATCACGGAATAAGTTCTTAAAAGAAATACGAGAAATAAAAAAAATAAAGGAAACTATAAAGTATCTAGTATCTACTCGCCGTCTTCTTGTGGATCGGGCTCGAGAACTCGGTCTTCCTGATCTAAAATGGTTAAATAAGGAATGAGCTACACTAGCCCAGTAAGAACATCACACTATATCACCGTCACAGAAGCAAAGATTGGTAGAAAACCGAAAACAACCAATGGTAGTACAAATTTTAAACCAATACAGTTATTTAAAATAAA